AGAGAGAGAGAGAGAGAGAGAGAGAGAGAGAGAGAGAGAGAGAGAGAAGCTACACCTTAAAATCTATCTTAAAATCTATAAAGCTCACTTATTAGAACCCACTATGCTCTCTATTTATAAAAGAGGTTGAATGCTATCTAATATTTAATGTCCTGTTATTTTTGTTACACTCTTCAATAATGGAATTTCAGTTTCTCCTTCAAGTTCCGTTTCTTCGTAAATACACATTTTAAACTTTTTTTTTTCAAAACAAGACTTCTCACGAATGCTCATTCATTTTAAATGGCTTCTAAAGTTCGTAAAAACAAAATTGCGCGCGGGGGGAGGTGGTGCCCCTAACCACAATTTCGTCGGTCCACCTTCACTTTAGCTAAAGAAAAGTGAAGGACGGGTAAACTACACGTCCCACCATGCATTGCTGCCTTATTCAGAGTAGGTCTCTACGGAAACAGAAAAAAAAATTCTCCAAGTCCCACCTGTTACTTCGTTTCTAAACACCTCTTGCACTTTCAGCTCGGACCGCAAACACAAAAGCCTCGTGACCTCCCGTTGGCTCCCCGAGTCAGATAAGCAGGGGGCCCCAGGTCTGGTGGCACGACCGCTCCGGCGGGGGGAACGCCACCGAGCTCGAGCGCTCCCCTCTCATTTCCAGGGCTGGATGCACGCACAAGCCTCCTCCTGTCTGCATCCAATCGGGGCTCTCCAAGGCGCACAAGGGAGAAGAACCGGTTACTGGGCAAGCACAACACACGGTGCCGAAACAAGGGCTAGCAGAGTGAGGGCGACAGCGACCTGACCCCCGACTGGCAACCTCGGAACACCGAGGGGTCCGGTCGTAGCCCCCGTGAGAAGCGGCAGCCGCGCGACCGGCGCCTCGGTCTCCTTAGGGCTCGTCAACGCGACCCTAACCGCCGCCCTCTGCGCGCGCTTTCGTGCCCCTCAGCCCGGTCGCGGGGCCAAGTGACCTCCCTTCCCCTGCGACGAGCAGCCGACGAGAAAAAGAACTCCTGCCGGCCTTCCCCTCCGCTCCCTCCTCCTCACCGTCTTGGCGGCCTCCGCCCAGGTCCTGCCCTTCTTCCTACGGCCCTTTTCCCTCATGTCGGGTCTTGAACTGACTCGGAGGCTTCCGTGCCCTGGCTCCGGCTGCCTTCCTTGCCTGCTGCGCCCTGCACTGCTTTTCCCGCGGTGCCGGGAAAGGTGGGAGAAAGGGAAAGTCGGACCGGAGAAGCAACTCAGCCGAGGAGCGGCCGCGGAGGCGCGCAGTGAGGGGGGGGGTCTACGGGGCGGCCGGTCCTGCTGCTGTTGCCACTGCTAACGCCGCTGCCATATTGGGTTCTTACTGTACAGGCAGCCGCTGTGGTCATGTGACCGCTCCCGCGCGGCCGTCACTACTGTACGCAGCCCGCCGCGCGAACGAGCGCGCACTGGCGCGCGCCCCCGGCCTTAGCGCAAGAGCCGGCTGTCTGGAGCGCTTTGCCCCGCCCCTGCACTTCCGGTCTCCGCCCCCTCCTCGGGCGCATGCGCGTAACGGGGCGCGCCTCCCAGAGTCTGTGGGTCGGTTTCTGGTGGTGCCAACCCACCGCGAAGATCTGCCGGCGGAAACGGAAGCCTCTCCTTCCTGGGAAGGCTGGTTGAGTGGTTGTGGACCGCGTGCGCTCTGCAGACTTAAAGAGCCCGGCACTCGCCCCAGTGATCTTGCCAAGTACCATTGCAAGAAACTTCATGTTTTATTTAATTGTGGCACAGGCGCCCCCGTTACTGATAGTTACAGGCATGCACCATCGTGCCCTAAGTTCCTTTTTACAAAGCTTATCTTTTTAAAGATGTACAACAAGCTGTCTATTACTAATCTCAGTTTAATAGATGAGATAGGTTAGACTGATTTACCAAACTCGCATATAGGATGTGAAAAAGCAAAAATAAAAAAAATAACAGGTTATTTTAACTCTCAAGCCTTGCCTCTCAAACTTCCGTGGCTTTTTCAGGGCACTATACAAACCACATTTACTTTTTTCCATGTGCTTAGTCTCATCAAAGATATGTCTTACCTCAGGAAACTCAGCCATGGCACAGTGCCTGTATGTATCAGGCATCCGCTAAATATTTGTTGAATGATTCAGCTGTGTCTCGTCAAGAACTGCTCATTATTCGTGTCACTAACACCCTCTTGAAAAATTCAGAACGTGGCGTTTTATCCCAGGTGTTTGTTTGTTTAGCTGGATGGTTGATTTGATTTTGGTTTTTGGTTTTGTTTTGTTTTTTGTTATTGTGGCGCAAGTTCCCAGGCCAGAGGTGGTTTTATGAGACCCCGTCTCAAAAAAGAACAAAAAGCGTGTATGTGATTGTTATGACCAGATCACTGGGTCCCCCCCAAAAAAACACACCGCAAAGTCCGCACTCATATGTAAAAGCAAAAAGCCTTTATTCAAGTTTAAGCTTGGACTCTCCTGTCCAAAGCAGTGTTTGAGAGCGGAGTCCCAAGCCCAGTTGAGGTAGGGTTTTTAATTATAGCAGAGGTTGGGGATTTCCAGGGTTCAGGACCCTGATTGGCTGACATTTGTCCAGGGGTCTTGGCAGAAGGGGAATAGGTAAATCCTAGACCCGAGAACACCTGATGGTCTCATCTAATCTTATCTAATGGTTGGACTACGAGGTACTTCCCTTTAGCTGCTGGCCCTCCCTGGGTGGTGGCAGCTTCTGGCTTTTCCTGGAACCCAGTGCTGCCTGCCCTGGTAGCTGTGTGGTCTGGGCCCCGTGTGTAGTCAAGCTGCCCAGGGCCACACATGGCCTGGGCTCCATCATGTGCGGTCAGGCTGCCCTGGGTCCCACAGTGAGAAATGTGGATTCCTATTTGGCTTTTGGAAACAGAGTCTCCCTTTGTAACTCTGATGGCCGTGGATCTTTGAATGTAGACTAAGACTGGCCTGAAACTCACGGAGATCACCTGCCTCTGCCTCCTGCGTGTTGGAATTAAAGAGGTGCGTGCATCATCACACGCAGCCTACATGTAGGGTTTTTTTTTTTTAAGAAAAACATTGGTAACTTTACCTCGACTTTAAATTTATGTTTTTAATTTATGCTAGGGACTTCAACATGTAGCCAAGTGCTCAACCATTGAGCTCACATCCTTATATCCCAGTTTAAAATGGCGAACAAGAGGGCTAGAGAAATGGCTCAGCAGTTAGGAGCACTGGCTGCTCTTCGTGAGGTCCTGAGTTCAATTCCAAGCACCCACATGGTGACTCACAACCATCTGTAATGAGATCTGACACCCTCTTCTGGCCTGCAGGTATACATGCAGACAGAAGACTGTATACATAATAAATAAATAAATCTTTAAAATATGGCAAGAAGAAAGAAAAAAAATGTTAGTAAGTTTGAGAGACCATCAGTTACTGATCACAGGATTCTGGCAATTGATATGTATATATATTTTTTTCAGCAATTTAATAACTCACAGCACTATAAGTTTTATTGTATGTGTCACCTCAGTACAAAGCCTGTGTCTTCAGTCAATTCAAGAAGTCCCAAATCAAGCTGAAAGAAAAGATTGCTAACAGCTTGAGCTGTAACCATAGTCGTGACCAATTTGCCATCTCTAAAATGTTTGCCTAAAGTCAGATCACCTGGGAATAGGCTATAGAGTGGTCCTGCTCAAAGTCCATGCCTCTGACCCTATGTGAGCAATAGCAATGGCAGTGTGTGACAGACATTTTCTGGGGAAACACAGAGACACAACACATTCATCCACTCACCCCAGAAAGAAAGCCCACAAGACACCAAAGTAAATTGCACCAACATCCAATTTGATGAAACAGTGACTTTTGTATTGGGGTCACTAACAAGAGTGTGGGTGAGTGGTTACTTACAAGCAAGAGGAATGACTGACCCTGAAAGACCTGGATAAATCCGGATCCCCCTAGCAGGAAAAAATAGAGCCAAAAATCTATTTTATATAGATATGTGTATATATATATATATATATCAATGATATATCAATGATAATCACAAGGGGAAACTCCCTGCTTCTTAAGATTATAATCAAGATTACAATCTAACTTTATCTTCAGCTAGTTCCTGCAACTGAACCAGCTAATCCTAGATTTCTGATTCTTCCTTCCCTGCTTTTTGGGTAGATCTATACAATATATATACAATATATATATATATATATATATATATATTTAAAGAATGTCTTAACTTTAGAATGAAAGTGAAAAAATTGTTACATTGGGAAAGAGGTTATGCTTTTGTTTCCACAGAAAACAAAAAGTTATGAATTTCTTCAAAATTAATAAAGATCAGATTTGATTGGGAGACACCTCCTAAAAATCTTAGCTACAGACATAAAACAAGCAAACAAACAAAAATACAGGACAGGTAATATAAAACTGATCCCTCTATATGGGAACAGCTCTGAAACTAAAGGACACGATAAATCTAATCGGCTGCAAAGTCTTCATGACAATTTGATTATACAATCCAACCGGATTTATAAAGTCAACATTTGTCTCTTACCTGCACAAACATAGAATCCAAGAAAATCATCTTTAGCTGACTTGTGCACACTGCACATTTTATACTTGTGTTAATGCAGATATATATGTTACCTTTAAAAGTGTGTAGGTTTTCAGCCTGGCAGTGGTAGTGCATGCCTTTAAGCCCAGAAATCAGGAGGCAGAGGCAGAAGGATCTCTGTGAGGTCGAGGGCAGCCTGGTCTATAAGAGCTAGTTACAGGACAGGTTCCAAAAGCTACAGAGAAACCCTGTCTCGAAAAACCAAAAATATACATGTATGTTAGAAGTTAGCTAGCAATCAAATTTATGGCTATGTTATATATGCTTTTAGTGTCAAACAGATATATTTTAGATAAGCAGATTATAATGATCTGTCCCGTCCCTTTAAGAGACAAGCCACACCCACTCTATCAGTTTTTGTCCTGTAGGTCTAAGACAGACACCCCAGTGTTGCAGAGGAACCTTAGGTGATTGTCCAGACAGCCAGAAATGACAGTTTCTGTCATTTCTATTGTTTTGGAAGTTGCTTGCTCTGCATTTCCTGTTTACTCAGTTAATATTATATCCTTCTGAGGTCTCTGATGAAGTTTAAAAAAAATAGTTACAGTTTTACAGTTTATATTATTACCAAACTAAAGAAAAACTTACAAATAGATGTAAAATTTATGAGGTTGAGAGACATAAAAAGCTTAAGTTGTTTATCTAAGAAAATGTTTTAACATCCAAAAAATATTTTTTAAATTTATTTATTTATTATGTATACAGAATTCTGTCTGCATGCCAGAAGAGGGAACCTGATCAAATTACAGATAGTTGTGAGCTACCATATGGTTTCTGGGAATTGAACTCAGGACCTCTGGAAGAACAGCCAATGCTCTTAACCTCTGAGTCATCTCTCCAGACCCCCCAAAATATTTTTAGATTGCTAATATAAGTTATGATGGAAAATAATTTAGGTATAAAACTTTGTACTCACCAATGATAATACAGTAGCTTCTCCAAATTTGCCAAATGCAAATGAACTAGACATTGTAAATGTACTCCTTACTTGATAATTATCTTATTGTATATAGTTTTACTATGTAGGAGTTAAAAACTTTCTGGTTTTTTGTTTGTTTGGTTGGTTGGTTGGTTAGTTTCTTTGGAATTTTGTTGTTGTTGTTGTTGTTGTTGTTGTTTTTGATTTTTGAGACAGGGTTTCTCTGGAGTTTTTGGTACCAGTCCTGGAACTAGCTCTTTTAGACCAGGCTGGCCTCAAATTCACGGAGATCTGCCTGCCTCTGCCCCCTGAGTGCTGAGATTAAAGGTCTGTGCCATCACTGCCCAGCAAAACCTTTCTTTTTTATTTAGACAAAAAGGGGGAAATGTTTTAGATTATATGTTTACACTGTGTGAAGATGTGTCACTGTGATTGTTTTAGTAAAGAGCTGATGGGCGATAGCTAGGTAGGAGAGAATAAGCAGGACTCCTGGTCAGAGGGAGGAAGTCAGGAGAAATCTTGGTGTATGAGAGATGCCAGAGAGAAGCTGAAGAGGTAGGACATCGGGTACAATAGAGAGGGGACTGAGTGAGACATGTGACAGAATGTGGATAATAAAAACAGGTTAGTTGAAGTTATAAGAGCTTTCATAATTAGTCTCTGTGTCATTATTTGTGAGCTGACCACCCAAAGGAAAGTCCAACCATACTCTGTAGAGCATACTGGCCTGAAACTCACAGAAAATTGCCTGCCTCTACCTCCTGAGTGGGGAATCAAAGGCATTCAACACCACTGCCCTCCCTGATCAGAATCTTAAGCTCAGCAACTGTTTGCCACTTTATACCATTGATAGGCCCTCTTAAG